ATTAATAATTAAGATGAATATTTAATATGCAAAGGGTCATTGTATGATAAATATCCAATATAATATAAAAAGAAAGTTATTATAATATTATGATAAAATGAAAATACTTGATTAAAAAAAAACACACACACAACAAAACAACAAATAATATAGGTATATTTAGTTCATATCTAACAAAAAAAGCATTAACTTTTAAGTTTAATATTTTAAAGAAAAATATAACAATAGTTACCATTATACACAAAAAAATGTATACTAATTTTTATTTTACGATTAAAATAATCTTAAATTATACAAGATAATATTATCATTTTAAGAGTATAAAGCTAATAACTTATAGATAAGTTTATAAGTTATATTTCTTGAAGCTGACACACAACAATAATTGTTGTAATTACATTACCAACTAAAAACAAGTACAAAGTACAAAAGTTATTATAGGAAACAACTAACAGTAATTGAATATTAAAATCTGAAAATATATTTAAATTATATAATGTTGTAACAGTGCAATAGATCAAAAACAAAATTACATAGTTCATTAATATTTGTATATGAGAGTGAATTCTTATCAAGAATTAAAAATATATCTTTGTACAGTTACTTATATTCTATACAATTATTAGGTATAGTATGAGGTGTCATATTATAATACATTAAATACAATATTAACGAGTAAACGAGTCTTACAGAATTATTCATAAGTTAATAATTAATATAGCTAAATACACTAATTACAAACTACAATAATTTTGGATAATAATATTGGTAGGACGTGGCACAATAATAATACAAAATATGTCAAATACCTACCTACTTTCATATGATAGTAAATATTTATAATTTTATTATGATCTCTTAAATCACGAAGCTATATACAAATTAGAATATCTGAATAGAATATCGGGTATTTTATAGAACTCATCGTTATTATACTTCATACACCTCGATACAAAATAGTCGTAGAGTAGACACTTTTATCCATTACGTTTCATTTAAATGTAATTAATAATTACTAATTATAAATCATAGCATTCATAAAAATATTCCGTGTGGAGCTTGAACCTAATCTAACGTAACCACACTTGTCAACAATTTATATTTCTACATAATTGTAAATATAGTATTTTGATAGATTTACTTACAAATTATAAAAATTATTGAGAGCATAGAAAATTATACCTTTTAAAACTCAAACTAGTTGAAATTCCTAATCGACAAAGAAGATTATACAACAACTAATCACAGAAACAATAGAAAAAAAAGAGTTCCGCTGTACAGTAGGTTACAAGAGCGTCACTGTAATGAATGGTTTTAAATTTGAATTCAATGATATAATATCATTGTATAAGAAAAATGATTCTAAGCGAAAACGGTCAGTCAGCCTATGATATTACGAAGAATATTTGATGATATTAAGGTGAATAAAGTAATTTATATTTTATAACCTATTTAGTATTTACGTGGAACCTTGTTTTAAATTTTCAATCCTTAGATATAAAAGTTGAACATCTTATAAATTATTAACTACCAAACTAGGTGGCACTATACAGTATGTCCCAAAAGTCCCGTATCACCCTTAATATCTCCATGTAAAATCACTATATTTAAACGCGGTTTTTTTTACAGTACTAAGTATGAAAATTCTGATTGAATGGCATAAAATTCATTTATTTTTTTCTTTAAATTCAAAAATTTTCGAAAAAATTTTTTACGCATTTAAGAATTTAAAATTTTTAAGATAGCCATTTTGTTGAGTATATTTTTTAAAACAGTTCAAAAAAAAAAATACTAAAATTAAATAAAAATTGACCAAGTTAGAGCAAGTTATGTATTTGAATAATTGTAGTAAAAAAATAAATTAGGAATGCAAAAGTATTTTCGTGTGCTGAAATTAGATATTTCATTATTGAAATGTGAAACAATAATTTATTTTTTTACTACACTATATTACTATATTATGTTTATATTGAGTTTTATTTTCTATATTAAGTTTGGTGTTACTGTGTGTTATAAACATTTATTACATATTATTAATTTTAACTGTAATCATAAAATTGCCGATTGGCATATATATATATAAATAAATAAATGAATAAATAAAACAATTATTCAATTTTAAATTTGACAAATTTTGTCAAAATTAGATCTTTAAATGCTTATAAAAAAAAATTATGCCTATGTATTTTTAATATTTTTCACCTGGTATTGTAACAATATATCAGGAGCCTTGTATTAGATTTTTACACTTTTTGGCCCAACAGAAAAACTTTATTGATATTCATAAAAAAAAAAAAAATTGAAAAATGAAATTGTCCGTAAACAGCTCAAAAAGAGTCAAAATATATGGTGTATAGGAAATGCTAATATAAACATTCAGTGAAATTTTCAAGTATCCACAGTCATTCATTTTTTAATTACAACAAAATAAGAAAATCGTTACATGAGAAATCGAGTGAATATCCGATGTTGAAAAAATTTGAATTTGAAACGCTCATAAAAATTTAATTTGACTTTCTTGTAGACATTTTTGTTGTTGATAAAGGTCGACAAATTTATGAGGAATTTCGTATTACATTTTCAAATCTTAGGTTTAAAAAGAAAATTTTTTATGAATTTATAGCTCAAAATAATTTGCTAATATTCTTGTTTTTTCCGTATTTTGGCAATATTTGAAGTTTAAATGCTTATAAAAAAAAACTGTGACTAAAGATTTTTAGTGTCCTAAAAGGTGATGACAGACACAAAAATAAAAAAAACACACATCATTGTAAATTTTCACTCAAACTCTAAAACGTATTGGTAAAAACTAAAAACTATCATATAATTTATGTTTTATTGAGAATCTAAAACTACAAGGTATAATAGTGTATAACAAAGTAGTACTCATGTCCTACCGCCGCTTTGATAACCTCATTTAAATTCAGGTTTTACTGTTATTATAGAATCCAGAAAACCAATTCTAATCAATACACATTTTCTAAATAAAATAATTAAAATTAAAAATACAAAATATTAATTTTTTAACATTTGCCTTATAATCGTACAGTTTAATTAAATGCTAAATATGTACACTAATAATGGCGACGATTTTTTTATGGGGGTAGAGTGGAAGGGTAATATAAGTCAAGTGATTTATGTAAGGTGGTACCTACAATTTTGGGTAAATGTATTTTAATTTAATATAATTTTAATCTTATAAAAAGTCCTTTTTTACAAAAAATGTTCAAAATATTTGGGAAAATAAATATATCACCTTGCCAATATCCATTAATATTGGAACTTGGTTTTGAGCTTTAAATTTAAACACAAAACGAAATTTTGGTGTAATTTTTGCTGTATAGTTAACAATTTATTGTTGTTATTCTCAATGTTTTTGAATCTTAACTTCATTAGTAGTATTTGTTGGCCGGCGCATTATATAGGCAACTTCGGTACATCAGTGTGTAGGTAGTATTTACACAGTATCCGTATCCCACTATAGCTGTTATCGGAAAACAAATTAATATCATGGAAATATTTCGTTACGACGACAATAACGTGCCAATTACATATGAATTCGTGTGTACACGTGGCACGCACAACTTCTTTTTAATAGGGTACGATGATAAATTCATAGAAATATCACTGGTGAGCGACTATTTTGGTTCATATATGTTTTCATAGTAATAATCTAGTTGAATAGGTCTTATATTTATTTGTTTTATGATTAGAAATGCTATTTAGAATTCAAATGAATCACGATAGTAATAAATAACTTAAAAAGAAGGTAATCCTCACTTACTATTTTGTTTGTTTTATCTACTTTACCGTATGAAAAAAAATTAAGTAATCTATTTCCTTATGATTTTATGTGTTTGTAATGGAGGTAGAGTGATAAATAAATCACCTCATAAAAAAAAATAATACAAAAACTGTGTCATTACTAAGCCGGGTTACGACTTACCACGATATTTAAACCATAGCTTTGCTCAAAGGAGTCTGTGAGAACATATGGTATATAATAAAAGAATTCCAATGTTCTTTTTCGTCAAACTCCGATGATAATTCATCACATTTTAATATAGTATTTTCCCCGTTTTAACAGATATTAAGTAATAGTAAAATAAGCGCGTAATAATGTGCCTGCACTATTTGATACTGTGTATAGTATATTATTATCAACGAGTGTATAATATTATGTTAAATATACTAAACATGCTATTATCTGTGCATAATACATAAATATAATCGGAGCGCATTCAACGGCATTGAGTTTCCAAAAGGTTATAACAACAATTGAATAGAACTCTCGATGGATCAATTTCGACACGAACCGTTTGACATAATGGTTCTATAAATAATGACCACATAACACGTATATTAGGTACCTATATATAGTATATACACAATACACGACACGTAATCGTCCACATGTTTACCGAAAACCCTCAAAAGTCTATCCGCTTGTGTTTACAATACTTCTCTGCTATGTTTGGAAACACAATATTTATACTTAGGTATATAATATTAAAATTACTAAAACATAAAAATGTATATACACTGTAGGACAGTGATTTACATGTATTAACTAATTAACGGGTGTTTTAATTCTAAATATTATGTGACGCACTGACACGGATGAGTTTGGGGAGAGGGTGGGTCGGGAGTATATAGGCCCTAAAGTAAACTGACAAATTTTTTTAAATCTCAGATATTATAAGGTTAATTTCTTGTTATTTGCACTACTTGTTCTTTTTGCTTGTTAATTGTCAAGCAATTTTTATGTTTTTAATACATTGTTCAGTGTACCGTACTCAGAATATTATTTGTGTATCAACTAATAGCGAAAAAACTGACTATTGGAGAATACGAAACTACATAAGTTTATAATTATGATATTGTATTAAATTAAATTATTATTTGGTTTAGTATATAAAGTGTATATCATTATTACAATATTATGGAATTACGAATATTTTCTGATATTGCATCATAATAATTATTATCCAATCACTTACTCGTTGTGAGGTATGTCCTCCGCCTGGGCCCGGACGCCGGGTAACGGCGACACGACCACGGCGACCAGCAACACGAAGACGTGAGCAGTGGCGACGACAGGACAACAACAACACGCGCCCCCGGCGAAAAACATGGCGATTTTACCGCGACACGCACGTTACTCGAACTCACGACGACAGCAACAATAACAACGGCGACGAAGACCACCGCAACCGTCTGTATAGGTATTAGGTAAAAGCGCAAAACGAACGAACAGAAAAAGAACGGAACGGACAGACCGAATGGGTGCGATTTTGGCGCGTGAACGCGACTAACGAAAAACAAAAAATCAAATCGGCTAACCACGGTAACGGCTAATCGCGGGCGAAACGGCGACGGTCGCAGTGACACTCGTCGGCACGCAACCAGGCGGCGGTGACAGCGGCAGCGTCGTCGTCCATTGCGGCGGCGGTGGCGGATGTGTGTGCGGTATAATATACGCGATGCGCACGTCCGCGATGTGTACGCTCGCGTATATGAGTAGTAAAAGTATTATTATACGCGAAATCCGGCGGCGTGCTGCTGCGGCGGCGGCGTCATCGTCCTGGTGTGGAAGCGGCAGCTACGGTGGCGGAGGAGGCGTGGGCGGCGCGTGCGCCCTCCCTCGTCACTGCCGCCGACTGAAAATTTCCTTTTATTATATTGATTCTGCAGACAGATGGGCGCACCCCCTCCCCACGCGCCAAACACACGCTACACACACACACACACACACACACACACACACAAATGTATATTGTGAATATGTGTGTGTGTGTGTGTGTACACACCGATCCCAACCCCTTCCCGGAGTTAACATGCCCTCACACTCCCCCACCGTGGAACAGGCTGTACTCGACGGTACGCCGGCAACGCGACAAATTGAACTCTGCATGTACGACAAAATTCCTATATACGCGTATATATAGCTACACGGCCAAGCAAGCGGTTGACAGCCATTGAGAGCGGAGTCGTAGACACGGCCGCCGACTTCAGATATATAGTGTATATTGTGTTTATGTATATATATATAAATATTATGTACATTGGACAAAATTATAACGATACAGAAAATATATAAATGAAAGAATGTGAAAAAAATAATAATAATAGAAACATGATTAAAACTCGACAACCAAGTATTTTTAACCCGGAAAAAACGTTCTTTTTAATCGCAAGCCCGTCCCTTTTGTGCGAATCTTTCATTAACGTGTATATTCGTTCATCGCCACCGCCACCATCTAAAGAATATATTATAACGGGATCGCGTCGGTGACAGCCATCCAAAGCGAGGAACGACTGAACGCGAGGAACGAATGTGCGCGTGATGATCACTTGAATGGACCAGAGGAACGCGTTACAGCCATCCGTCCGACAGAAAAGTGCGATTTGTCTGTTGGCTGTTCTGCGCTAGTAATATTCTGAATAATGAGTTTCTTTCCAACGCACACACACACACACACACACACACACACACACAAACGCACGTATATATAGCCTGAGAGATAGTATGGTTAGATAGACAGAGAGAGAGAAAGAGAGAGAGAGAGTAAAAGAGAAGAAGACAAATGAATTAGCTAGAAAACGATGAAAGGCCGTGTATAGTAAATATATATATAATAGCCTCACTCATGTCTACCAGCTAAGTATAAAATGAATAGATTACAAAATATTTTTCGATAGTTGAATTTTAAAAAAATATCCCAATAGATCCCCTTTTTTACTCACAAACAAACAAACAAACATAATATCTTACATACCTAAATCAAAAATTAACTGAAAAAGTATATTTCAAATATCTATAGCAATGATTATAGTAGCACAAATTACTTTTAAATTTCTAATAAAATATTATAATATATATTAATTAATATTTGGTGAAAAATTGAAGTCTCTACAATTAATAATTTTGAATTACAAGTTATTAAGTTACTAAGATTTTTTGAAAACTAGGTTAGCTTATTATTTAATTTTTTTCAGTATATTTTAGATTTTGAGAGGAGGGATGAATGTATTGACTTTACAATGATGTTCGAGTGTGTCTAAACTCTAAATACACGTCAGTAGATAAAAAGTATAAACGATGCTTCAATAGTTCAATCATCAACTTTAAGAGTGATTTCTGATGTAAAATTCTATATATTAGTTATGACTTAGGAGCGATTAAAACTAAAATTTCTAGGTATTTTTCAAAATAACCTGAAAAACAATAAAAAAATTTCAGGAAAACGGGAATTTTTACGCAAACCCAGTTTTTGACGAATTCGATTTTGTTTTTTGCTGTAACACTTAAACAAATAACCTTAGATACATGAATCAATATGTTCATCAAATGTTTATATTAGCATTTTGCCATTTTCTATACATGATAAAATAGTTTCAAAATATTTTAATTTTTTTAAACTATATTATATTATACACATTTGACATATTTTTAAGATTTTTTTTCTTTTTCAACAAATGTCAAAAAAAATATTTTCGCCTAGTCAATACCTTCAAAATGTAATACAAGGTTCCTCATAAATTTTTGTTACTGGAAAAAAAGTTGAGTACTTGAGTGTATATACACAAATGTTTTATTATGAACGTCAAAGTTTAAATGTTGATAAAATAGGAATTCACACGTAAAATAACGATTACTCATCAAACAATTTTTAGATTTTGAGTGGAACGATGAATGTATTGATTTTACAATGATGTGTGTTTTTTTTGTTTCTGTGTACACGATAAGCAGTCGAAATAATGCTTTGATTTTCAACTTCTGTATCTTGTTCGATGGGAAAGTGAATATTATTGGTGCATTGGGGAGGTCAAAATTTAAAAATCAGAGTAATTTTCAAAAGCACCGTGAAAAACAAAAGAAAAATTAAGGAAAAACGGGAATGTTTACTCAAAATCGATTTTTGACCAAATCGACTTTGGTTTTTGGTGTAACTTTAAAACAAATAACCGTATATACATGACATTTTCATAAGTTATTTATATTTCCATTTTCTATACACGATGAAATGTTCAAAATGTTTTGGCTTGTTTTAAAATGTACAACTTTTATAGCTAATAAGGATTGACAATTTAAAACAAGATTCCACGTAAGAAATTAATTCTGTCAAAAAAAATATCTAAAAAACGCTTAAGCATAGTTTATTTTTATAGTATCTTAAGTTCAAATTCGGACGAAATTACATATTAAAAAACCTAGAATAACTGTTTTAGTTATTTTGTTGTGATTGTATAATATTATTCATGGGTACTTGAAACTTCTAAACTATACTATATGATAGTATCACGATTTGTTATTGATGCATAACGCGTTATAAGTATCTAATGGATATTGTGATATGATTAATTTGGAATTTTTTATAGGTACCTATTATAGGTCAATTTTTTTTTAATACATATAGATTAGTATATAATATGTCCTATACCTAGACTGACATACCATATCCGCTCAGAATTGTTTTTCTTATACAATGATATTATATTATTGAATTCAAATTTAATACCATCCATTATACAATGACCCACTTGTAACATACTGTACTTTTTTTATTTTACTTATTATTATTATTTATTTATTACGGGCAATGAGTCCAATATAACAATTATATAAATTCAACCGAAGTGGGTGTTACAGTTACCCAACTTTACAAGTAGCAATTGTATAGAGATAATAGTAATAATACAACACACATGATATATTATATAATGAGACATATACATTTAAATTTGTAGGTACATAATACTATTATAATACTATTATGATAATAGTAATAATACAATATTTATTGATATCTAATAAATAAGTGAGGGTGCTCTGAGTACTGAGAAATACTCAAGAAGGTATCTAACAAGAGAACATTAAATAGACTTGAGTGAAGCAGACAATTTAAACTCTTTGGATAATCGTAGCACAAAACCAAGTGTCTTTAGAGATTTACAACACATTGCTTCGATGTGAGGGTGAAAGCTCAGTTTAGGACTATTTATGAACGGGCTAGGAGCCCAATAGTATAATACTATATTTTATAGAAATTAATTTGAACAATATGACATCATAATTAAGTTAGCGAACGACAAACAATGCAATGGATCAAATAAACAATTAATGACAAATATATAAAAAACAAAAACAAAAATATTAACAAATGGGAAAAAAATAGGTATAACAAATTGCAGAACTATTAATTTTAAGAGTTTTAGATGGTACCTACCTATATATGTACATAAATTGTCGTTCACTAGTTTCAATAGTGTGCTCAGTGCTGTTAGTTTTGATATTAAAGTAAATCGACCTTTATCAAACTTTTAGGTAAGAACATTATGTGTGTCTTCTAGTTGGTTTTTTATGAAATTTAATTTTTAAGTGAGTTCTGAGAATTTAAAAATTTTAACATTTTACATTCTCATCACTTACTTAAAAATTAAAATATAGTAAAAATCAACGAGAGAACACTGCAGATAAATATAAAAGTTTGACAATAGGTAAACTATTTATTTTAGTATCAAAACAGCACACTGTTGAAACTGGTGAACGAAAATTTGGTAGGTCATACGTGTGTAAGTCGGAGACAAAATATGGACATGCGACGTCCTCTTAAGTAAACTATTTATAATACTTAGTTTGACTTGAAATATACTTTTTTTTAAAACTAGGAAAAATTTGAACAAATTGACACAATACATTTATGATTTCTATGATTTATTAAAAAAAACTAATTAATACCAATACCTATCTTAAATTGTTTTCAAAATTTAGACCATCATTCTACATGCGTGACTGCAGACGGCGCTCTATTTGAGTAGCTGCTAAAATTGGTTCTCTTTGAAGTTCGGCACAACTATTTACAATTTTGTCTTTGAGGTCCTGAACATTTAAAAGTGGAGTTGAATAGTAAAATTCTAATAGCATAAGGTCCGAAGATCTGGGGGGGGGGCTTACTACTGCCCCAAATGTACTCTGCAGATATTCTTGAACAACAATTGCATTATGTGCAAGTGCTCCATCGTGTAGGAAAAATAACTTAGCCCTAGTTTCTAATGGAACATCATCCATGTATGTAGGAAATACATTTGTCAAAAATTAAAAGTATCTTTTCCCAGTAAGTGTGCCATCATAAATATATGTGCCGTGAATTTTTAAATCGAGTAACCCACACCAAACGTTACTTCCCCAAACTGTTTGATTATTTCTGTCAGTAGTCCAGTATGGATTGTTATCTGCCCATATTTTTAAATACTCATAATTCACTTAAAAGTTAAAATATCTTAAAAAACCATCGAGAAGACACAGATAATGTTCTTAGCTAAAATGTTGATAAGGGTAGATTTACTAAATTCAAAACTAACGGCACTGAGCACACTATTGAAACTGGTGAACGACAATTTGCTACCTACGTCGAACGTGTGTAAGATAGAGACAACATATGCCGGTGCGACGTCCCCTTAATGTCTAGAAACATGTTACCATAGAACGTAGGTGTGAGTGAAAAAAAATACGTGGAATTTGTAAAATCATAGGATAATTGTTGAAAAATTCAATAATTTTAAGTTAAAACATTTGCTCGTTGTCATAATGTCATTCAGTCAATATTGGTTTTAGAGCCATGGATAAGAGGTCAAAATGACTTAAAAAAATTCGGTCCATCCCAATTTGATATTTAAAACACCTATTTTAAAAATAGCAAGTGCCAAGTTGTACTGCTCATGCGCACACTGAAAGATATAACAATTTGAAATCATCAAAAAATGTGTATTTATGTATTCCTTAACTCCTCCCGAAAACCCCATAACAGTCGAGGTCACTGGATTGAAATAAGTCGTGTTACCTTTAAAAGGAAACACACTGTATATAGAACTCTGAACTAAGCTTACATTACCGATAACCTTATGAGTGAACTATCAACTATGATTTATGAACTAACCTATACTTATACTCTGTTCAGCGAGAGAACTTGCTGATTCTGCGCACCATCCATAGAGATACCGGATACTTCGTATTCATAGATATTAAAGAATGGATAGGCCATAGCTATATTAATAAAATAGAGAGAAGTCACAGAATAGATGAAATTGATAAATTGATGATAAATTTCATCTATTCTGTGGAGAAGTGTGCCGGTCGCCGGAATGGGGAAGAGAGAAAGACTGTTCTTATCATTGCCTCTCATTCCGCAGAGGTCTTATCAGAAATTATATACAACAATTACACATAATTCTCTACATATGTCATATTAATATATTATATCTATTTGTGTTAAGACCTCTATAACCTCAAAATATTTTCATGTTCGTTCCCGTATGATAAACACAAATAGCTTATCCACGATTTAAGATATCTTAAATCTATTATATCTTAAATCGTGGGTTTATCCATCAAGGTGGATATATATCACCATAGAACAATAATATCACAGAATAAAATCATATAATATGTCCACTATGGGTCGATGGTTATTTGACTTTTTAAAATAATTTATAATATTGATATGAAATATTTAATTGATAACGTATACCACGCCCCCTACCCTTTCGAGACTATCTTCAAGACCACGACCAGGGACAGTCACCCGATTTGGCCATATTATTTTTCCAAATCACACTATCACAATCTTACAGTCTGGCCGGTGCCCGTTGAACAGAACTGCTGTTATCTTCAAAGACCCAATAATTAATGATTTTTGAATCTTTTAAAGGAATAATAAAATTGTAAAATGGAAATATTCTATTTAGACATTGTTATATTAATTAATCTTCTACTTCATTCAATAATTTTGACGGAATGTTCTGTTGGAAACTTTGAAATCGTAAAAGGGATCCCAATAGAAAGTAAGTTTAGGTATACTACCTATACAATGTTGAATACTTGAATAGGTATATCATAATTGATGCCTATTGGGCAAATAGTATCAATTACTAAGTTTATAAAATGCTTACAATATTTTTGACAGCTTTTGATAGGTACTTTTGTACTTATTAGTTATTTTTTTAGAACAACAAGGTTCTTTCATTATTCATAATTTCAACAAAAAATAATACTTACACAGTTTTGAATGATGCATTTAATTTTTTTTTTATTATTACGTAATTATAATTATATCAAGATATGTAACTTTATAATGTTTTTACAATGATGCAATACAAATATTACAAATTATGTAAAATAAACAGAAATATAATCTTTATTTGTTTGGTTGGTCTTTGATGTCTCCTAGAAACATAGTTTGTTATTGGTGTATTTTAACCTAGACTCAGAAGTATCTTTAAGCATTACATTTGGAAATAGCTAATAAATATTAATATATTTCATAGAAATTATTCTACTTGTCAAAGTAGTGAAAAATTAAAATGAATATTGTTTTTTATCTAAACTAATTTTTGTTTTAAAATATAAATATATGTATATACTAATTTTGTTGCCAGTAAAAAATGGAGACTCTTTAAAAGTTATGTTTGTTTTGGTTGTAACTAGCTGCGGTAAGTGCAACTCAGGCCTCAGTCAGGGTTGTAGGCAATCTGACTATGTCAGAACGCGGACAAAGGGACGCCTTGGTAGGCGATGTTCGAAAATTCTATTTGATGTAAGGTTGTACCTGATCTACCCTAATAACCAATGGCAACCAATAATAAATAAATACTAATTTCTACCATTAATCTACCCTCAAAATTTCAAATCGATAGCTCTAATAGGTTTTGGCTCTGCGTTAATTATGAGTCACTCAGGATAGTCTCTTATATAATATTTACAGATTCAATTTTCTTTAACATTAAGATTATTAATAAGAAGATTTAGAAACAGATAAATAAACATCAACATGACCTCTAATATTTCCAGTTGTATGTAGTGATATGTAGGTATACCAAATTTAGCATAAAGATTATTATTAAAATACATTTTAAATAAAAATGGGAAAATATTGCCAGCTGCAACCAATTACTCTGCTCGCAATAACCACTGTAAACAGTAGGATTGACCATTTCACGTTGATAATCCTCAGCAGTGGAGAAGTTATTACCATTTGAATTGTAAGACATAGTAATTAAATAAAGTTATTCCAATTATCAGAGACATACGAAACAATGATATTTTGGATCTCCTGGCATCTTTCTTGAGTGTTTAACAAATGAAATTAAATTGAACGGAAAAGGCAAGCACCGTCACAGATAATTGGTACAACTATTTAAGGTGTTAAATGTCAATATTCCATTGACAAAAATCTCTTCGGTCGAAGACATTTTTTACAAAATACAATTACCTATATTGTATATATAAATTTTTAAATATACCGACTATGTTTAATAATGAAAATAAATAATAATAATGGTAATCTTGGAAATATTAATAGTTTGTTGTAAATGGGTATACAATTTAGTGTTTACACACATTTCGTTTTTGCCGATTTTAACACCTTAAAATCAAAATTTTGCAAAATCCTTTCTTTATGTAAGGTGAAATTAAAATATATTAATCTACACTGAAAATTTAAAATCGATAGCTGTATTAGGTTTGGCTCTGCGTTATTATGAATCAGTCACTCTCACATTCAGGACACTCGCTTATATAATATATAGATAATAGGTAACTTTTTTTTTGTTTTCCTTTTTTGACAATCATTTGTATGAACAATACTACTCCTCTTAAGCCATCGTTTATTGGTAGATAGATAATAGGTACCTACGTAATTTGAATAATTAAAATATAATAAATTTAATTTATTCCATTACCATACTTATTTATAATTTTTTCATGACCGTGTTGTAGATGCTAAACTATATGCCCACGGCAAGGACTTCTCTTGTTTCGATGGAACTTTAACTATTCCTTATTCATATATTAATGATGATTATTGTGATTGTATTGATGCAAGTGATGAGCCAGGTACCTCAGCGTGTCCAAATGGCACATTTTACTGTTCAAATAAAGGACATTTTCCTTCCGTTGTGCCGTCATCACGTGTGAATGATGGGATTTGCGGTACCTATAACATTTAATATAACATTATACAAAATATAATCTCAGTAATTCTAATTCTGAGAATTGTAATTCTTAAAAACTGTAAAATAGTAATAGGTATCTCTGAACTATATTATATGCAAAATAACAATTTTTTCTTATTGTTTAAATGGTTTATATGTATTAATATTTCAAAAATTATAAGTACCTAAAAAAAAAAAAATAGCCTTAATATTTTAAAGTTTAAACTCTTATTCTTGAAAATGTAATTTAAAAATAGCAAATGTTATCTTATTACTACTTTAAATTAGACTAAATAATCATTAAACATTTATCTTTATAAAATGTAAGTAGTAAATGAATTTTGAAATACATAATTATTTTAAAAGTTTATTATAGGTATATTATTAACTACAAATATTATTTAAATTTAAACAAATATATATCAGTTACTTTTTTAATCTTATTTATTGTAACACCTATCAATCTAGATAAGTTTAATCGGTATAATAGACATTACATTTTAAACAGATTGTTGTGATGGGTCTGATGAGTGGGCTAGTAATTTCCAAAAAGATGCTTGTCAAAACACATGTGAAAATCTTAGCCATGAAGCCAGAGGTGAAGCAAATAGAGTTCATGATTTATATGCTCTTGGATTTAAAATAAGAGAACAACTTATTGCTAAAGGCAAATATCTTTTATTACAGAAACAGGTAAGACATTTTTATATAGGTATATTGTGCGTATTGGAACGAATATAAATACATAGCTTCCTTTACTCACGCAGTCCTACCCATCACCATTTTAATAATAAAAAATTAAACAGTAAATAAAAACTCATACATGATTTCTTTATATAGTTATAACTCCTATGTTACCAACTTATCAAAAAGTCAAATAAGTACCTAACATATTATTTCAAAATTATGTACAATAAATTTTAATATTTAATTTGTTACATTTACTACAATTTGATTAGTTATTATAATCAACAAAAACTAGAATAAATTACCAAAAACATAACAAAAATAAGTAGTATGTCAGATGTCTGTATTAATTTAATAAAAATAAAAAATGAGACGATTCCATTTAAAATACAAATACACAATATAATATAGCCCCCATTTTTTATAAAAGAAAATAATAATAAAAAACCTTATAGGTTATCAGTTATATGTTGGTATAGGTACCTACAAATTATAATTATTATTTAAGTATACTAATAACTTAGCAACAGATATTCAATTTTTAATTTATCACCATATTAAAAGCTTTTATACAACATGAACAAATGTGATTGTAAAAATCAAAATTGTAATCACAATAATGTTTATGTACAGCCACCAAGAGGTAAATCATATGCAAAACATGGAACTTATATTCGTCCAGATATTCCTATGCAGAATAAAACCGAACAAAAATTATCTTATAAGAACTATCCTATTAATGGATTAATAAATATTAATTCGTCTTCAAAAAATAAATGCTTTGAAGATAGTTTAAAATTTGGTTTTCAATATCCAACAGAAACTATTCAACAATCCAGTTACAAAAAATGGATAATTTCAGATGAGTTGGATATTAAAAAACCTAAAGACTGTTCTGATTTAATTGGACGTGGTTCTATAGACTTAAATACTACTAAACATTTTGACTTTCAAAGAAAAAACATTACTCCCCAAAGTAAAGATTTTATAATAGTTCATATAGTTATAATTTATTATATTAATAATAAACTAAAATATTCCAATTTAATGCAAATAGGTAAACACTATCAACAACCTTGCAGTGTTTTTAAGTTAAATACCCAAACTGAAATTCAATCTACAATTTATCAAACATCTTATATGGATTCTAAAATAGAAAAAAAGAATCTTGATATTTTCAAACCTAAAAGTACTTTCATTAACCCAACAAAAAAAATGGAAACAATGACAACAAATAATATAAATTATAAAAATTGGATCAGTAATTCAAATAATTCAATTATAAAGACTAGGAACGATTGCCAAACCAAAAAACCTATAATGGATCATCAAACTTCATACAATTATTGCTATACTGTACCAGGAACATATATTAAAGAAGTTACATTTTCATCAAATGATGATATATGTATTAAAGAGTGTTGTGATTAAAAATTGATTAATAAATATTCTACCACATCATGTGTATGACATTGTAAATTTAGTTTTATTAATAATTAATGGGTAGGGGCCAAAAGTATTAATACATAAATATATAGAGGTTCTAATTAGATTTAATTATATAGCAGTGATCAATAAAATAGGCAGGGAGTTTGTTGGAAGATTCATGAGGTAGGTGCATGATATAGTCAAGTGGATAATTTTAGTTTTAATTCATGATATATTTGGAGACAATATAAGCCACATTTCCATGATCGTTGGTTCTCTCAAACTCTGATGAACCCCTTACAAATATGAACTAATAGATAAAATATGTGAATTGTAATTAAAGTCAGAGGTTAGCAGAAAATCTAGGTATTTTCTTTTATTGAGAATAGATAATATAATAGAACTATTTATCAAATATTTGTGATTGAGTGATTATTTTTTGAAAAGTAACAAAATAACCAAAGTGGTACTATTATTGTAAATTTACAATTTTTTGAAAACTGTTATACAACAATTCAATCGCAGCTTTACAAATATAATACAAGTTATTTATCAGTATATTCAATTTTGTTTTGTTCTTTAGAATAAGATTCTTCACCTTTTGACCAAAACAAAAGAAGCACAGTTTAATAGAAGTAGTATGTTCAATGACAAAGAAATCGCTAAAGAAAAAGAAAAAAAAGCTATAGAGGAGGAAAAATCAAACCAACAAAATAAAGCAATCAAAATATTTAATGAAATTGATACTAACAAAGACAACAAGTACAATTATTTTAATACCTACTAAAATACTAAATTATATGTTAAAAAATTCACAATAAAAAAATCTTATTTAGAATTGATGTGGAAGAAGTAATTGCTTACAGTACTTTTGATCAAAATCAAGATGGCTTGGTTTCACAAGATGAAATTAATGTAAGTTAAATAGATAAATTAAATTATTAACATACTTACCAATAGAAGTAAAATACACCTAGTATTTTATTCATTTAGTTATTGAACAAAATGCTCTTTGCTTCATTTAAAATATTTATTATATTTGTATAGTATTTTATGGAAAATAAAAAGGAATTTGACCTAAAAGATTTTATGTCAAATGGCTGGAATCGTGTAAACCTGTTAATTTTTACAAAATCTTTTGACAAAAAACAACATCTAGCTAAAAGAAATGTCAAAAAGGAAATCCTAAATCAAGATTTTAATCATAATGAAACTGAAAAATATAATATTGAAGATATTGAAGCTGTAAGAATTAATACATTATTATATACTGAAAAAACCAAAATCATAATTAATGGTAATTTTAAATTTATTATATCTATACAATTTATAAATAAATGTTCATACTATTAATCAATACAAAATCAAAAACTTAATGTATTGAGAGTTAAAAAATGTATAATCCAGGCAAATGCGGGGGAATGGTTCTATGTCTGTATAATTAAGGACAATATTTAAACAAGACCTAGGTTAAAAATTAAAGTAGTTAAAAATTTGAAAACAGCTTAATAGTTTTGACCATAGATGACTAAACTATTTGTAAAAATTCTTCTATAAAAAAAGTAATGAAGTAAATTATAAAAAAAAAAAATATGTCATTGTATTTCATGAAAATAATGTATAATCGAGAATCATTGTATAGTGTAGTCAGTGCAGATTGTAGATCAAGCATGTAGAATATCGAATGGGCTAAAAATATTAAATCGAATACTGTGGTCTGTGGCTACTCGAATAACTTATCAAATAAAAATTCTTTTATTGTCACTTAATTAGCCACAGGCCCAAAAAGAATGTAGGGCCGCACGTTTGTCATGCCTGGTGTATTTTGTACACATTTATTACTAATTGTTATTTTAGAATCAAAAAAAGCTCGTGAATTATTTGAAGAGGCTGACAGAACAGTTAAAGATCTTCAAAAACAAGTTTATGAATTAAAAAAATCAATAAGTAAAAATTTTGGTCCTGATGATGAATTTGCTGCTTTAGATGGACAGTGCTATGAACTGACTAATGATGAATACGTGTATAAATTATGTCTATTTGAAAAGGTAAGACAAAGTATTTACAGCAGAAGCCGTGAGCACATGAACACTTTTGGACCAAGTGTGTCAATTAAACAATTTTTTCTAATAGGCGATTGGTTTCTACTTATATTAGGCCTTAGACATTTTGTTTCAATATTGTGATTGTATCTTTTATCCGTGTTCCTAATAAACGGATTCTACTGTATTTCAATTTAAATTGCATCTTCTCCCTTTGGCAATACTATTAAGTGGATGTTAATTTGCTATAGATAACTCAAAAGCCATTAAAGGGAGGACCTGAAGTACACTTGGGTGTCTGGAAAGATTGGGCAAACTTTATGAATGACGAACCTCAATATCATACCATGCTTTATGATAGAGGACAACAATGTTTGAATCATTATCAAAGGTTTGCTTATGTAAGTTTTTTCAAATGTTCAGTGAACGAACATTAGTAATTGTACCTATATTGTATTATTGTGAACAAATATTAATAACACATATTACCTTAAAAACAGGTTCACTTGAGTTGTGGTTTAAAACCGAAACTTATATCGGTGTCAGAGCTTAACCGATGTGAATACCTAATGGAATTTGAATTGCCCTCAGTATGTGTAATAGAAGATAATAAATATTTAAGAGAACTTGAACGAGAAGAATTATAAACATAAATACCATTAACTTATACTTAAAACAATATTGTATTAAATTGGTTTTTATCCCTCATCAGTTAAGAATTATTAAACATGTTTAAAAAATAATGTACATAATAGATATGTGATATATTAGTGATGGTACTAAGTACTACAAATGCAGAAATTAATGTCATAATATTAAATATACTATACTATATTACTATGTAACCCCTGTTATTTATAAAATAAAATTGTTAGTTAAATTACTAGTGTTAAATTTCATATTTTTTAAACTATTGTTATTTCAATATTAACAACTCCAAAAAATGCATAAACATGTTATGTGTTATGAGCTGATGTGTATTATGTACAAAAACTTCCCAAATAGGAAAAAAAACTTATGCCTCTTGAAATAATGAGATTTAGGCCATTTTTTTTTCTTTTGAATTATTAATACTATAATAATTCAGATTTAAAAAACTTTATTTTCAGAAGTTATAGTTATCATTTAACTATTTACTAAATGTTAAGTATTTTTAAATCTATTTTCCTGGTGTTATTCAAAATAGGAGTCCAATAAGACCTGATAAAGCATAACTTTTCTCTTTCAAGAAAAAAATCAGTTCACCAAACTCTGACTTCAACGAGGCATAACCGTTTTTACCATAGTAATTTCTATACATTTATATATAATCGTAAGACCTCAACACAAGTATCATGGCAAATATTATAATTAATAATTATTAATGGCCCCTGCTGCTAAATTTGCTTCAATGAAGGGTAAAAATATTTAAAATATACAATATGCTTTAAAGCCTCCACAATTTAACGCAGTCACTGTTTAGTTCTAATAGTTATTACTTATTAGTTATTACCATCGTCATAAAAACAGTTAGAACCAAATATTGATGGACAAATAATTATTAAAATATATTAGGTGTATTTAGTTATTAGCCATTAGGTATTAACATTAAAATTAAACATTTATTAAAAATTGTTCAAAGATATGTATGAACAAATTTAATAGCTTCGTATAAATTCAGTAATAAATTAGAAACCAAGGTAATAAGATATTAATTCATTAATCACACATTTTAAAGGAATCAAAATTCACATTTTTTTAAATATATTATCAGATAGCATTATATTATAATAAGTTTTGGTAATAACATGCTGATTGTATCCTAATATAATGATCACAAAAATTAAAAAAAATTAAATAAAAATACTAATAAAAAATGATTTTCTTAACATCTTGATCAAACATGAACTTCAACATTAAAAGCTCGTTAAATTACAATATATATAAGGTAGTCAAATTATGAGTATTATAAATGTCCAATGAGGCCTTTGTTGAAATAGTTAACTTAATTATAGTATATGTTTTTGTTCTTTTTCAATAATAAAATTATCCCCAAAGGCCAAAGGTATCTTTCACTAAGTATTAGTCTTGTATTTTAAACAATTAACTAAAAAAAATTATCATTAAAAAAAAAAAATAATAATAAAATTGAAACAACTACAATCATAATGAATATTTTAATATTAGGCGTGTATAAAAAATAAGACTTAAGAAATAAATACTTGAATAGTGAGTATAGTTTTGGCACGGATGTCCTACTTATAATCCCTGTAAGTCATCTGCACCTTCTGATCAGGTCAACATATATTTTATTTTATATATATAAAAAAAACAATTATCAATAAAATATACATATGCTACTTCTGATCACAAGGCAGAATGGAAATAGAAATCTTCTAATAAAATAAGTAAAAATAATTTGAACAGGAATTATAACATAGTTTTATATTGACCAAATGTATTTGTAATTTAAAAAAATGATATACATTTTACTAGAAATAATTAAAGTATTACATTTCGTTGATTTTATACTATGATTTAAGTAAAAAGAAAAAGAAAATAAAGTAGTTAAACCAGTTAACCATTCAAAAGATAAGATAATAATAATATTGTTTACTGATATTGAGGACGCCATTCCTGCTTGCATTGTCTGTCTTAAGAGGACACTACACAGCCATTTGTTGTTTCATGCCCCTATGCATACGGACATCTGTCTTACAAGTGCTCTACATACCAGATTTAAGCTCAACAGATCATGTTTAGCTCCATTTTTTTTAAAAATAAGAGTGAATACCTATTATAAAAATTGATGGTAAGAACTTTTATCAGTATTTGTATGTGAGTTTTTTTTAAAATAGATCAATTTTTTAGCAAGTTATACGTATATAATATAGCAAAAATGCCCATAACCCACTCATAAGCTGAGTTTTTGTAAAAAATACCATATACAAACACAGATAATGTTCTTACCATCAAGTTCCAAATAGGTTGATTCATCCTAATTTTTAAACTAACAGAGTTAAGAGTGATCTGCTAATTGTAAATTTGCTATGTTATGCACTTGCAAGACAGAGACAACCAATACCTGTGTAGCGTCCTCTTAAATTAGAGCACGAACAAATGCTACAAAACAAACCATTGTAAACAGTATAGCCAAACAAGTACAAATGCATTTCTTCAAGTTCAGAAGCGTTTACTCCAAAGGCAATTGATCAAAGCGTTCGATATGGGTTCAAATTCGTTCATTAATTCGTGTTCGGGCTCTAATGTAAACTAACCTTTACAAACACATAATATACCAAATTGTATGTTCTGAATAATTTAATTTATTGAACAGTTATTTTTAATATTGGGGTGAATTTGACCTACCAAATAAGTAAGAATATTATCTAGTGCACAACAGGTTTTTTTTATACAATTTTAAATGAGTAATGGATTTAAAAGTGTACAAAATCATAACTCTTTTTAAGATTTCAATATAAAAAACCCGTCATTCATTAGATAATATTCTTACTTCTAAATTTGGTAATAGGTCAATTCACATTAAAATTAAACATAACAGTTAAGAGATATCAGTGCCCTGTTTGTTTTCTATCTCTAGCCCATGAGCAACATAAACGAAATGCATTATTTGGAATCATATATAATATTATCCTTTATAATTTTTGTAATTGGTAATTTTGCTAAAAAATTATTTTACATGTATGCGATTGATCCATATCGCTAATGGGTCAGAGGAAACAAATATTGCGCTGACATTCAAAACTTAAACAAATTATTCAGACCATGCAATTTGTTATGGTATGGGTTTGTTAGATATAGACAAAACATGCGGGTATGACGTCCTCTCAAACAATAAAATCACATACATATTGACTAAAAAAAATAATAATAATAAATTGTAGTAAAGCCTATGCACAAATCAATAGCTCCTATGAATACTGGAAGCACGATTTTGAGAAAAATAAATGGGGCAGGAAAATATTTTAGATAATCGAATAACACTATAAATATATATTTTTTAAATTTTTATTAATAATAAGACGATAAAAATAGCAATATTAAAATCGGATCTCAAAACAAGATGTCAACTTGTTAAAGGGGTCCTCTGTATAATGTTCTTTCTTTGAACATAAATTTCTATTGATCGGGATTCCAAAAGTTATTATGTTTTTTTGTTTATCATTCAAATAAATATATTCAATACATGCTTTTAACTGAACAATATTATAAATGATGAAAACACACTTTCCTGAGCCAAAAGTGTGTTTACATTAATTAAAATACGACGAGGACACTCTTGTTCGGTCCTTTTTTAATTTAAATAAAAAAACTCCTCCATTTGTTTCACTCATATTCAAAAGAGGTAACAGTGCTTGCGTTTCCTTCTTGGTTTTGCTTTACGTTTTTCTCGCAACCTTTGTTCTTTCTATAATATTAATAAATAATTATAATACATAATATACACTATTAAATGACTACTTACATCTTTCCTAATTTCTCTAACCAAAGTGTAAAACGCTTCATCAACACCTTGTCTCGTTTTAGCTGATGTCTCAATAAATGGTACACCATATTGTTTAGCTAAATCAGATGCTGCTTTAACATCTATCGCTCTACTTTGTAGATCACACTTATTGCCTACCACTGAAACGTAAAGTAAATTTAAAGTAAGTAATTAATAAATCAACATTTCAAACAATTTATAATTTATCAGAATCTAAAGATCTGAATGGATAATACTTCAAGTGTTTAAAATATTGTGATAAATAAACATGATACCAAAAGTAATAATAATTTACATCATAATAAGAGTTCAACGAATGAATACTTTGATACTTACAAACCATTGGGACATCCTCCGCATCTTTTACTCGTTTTATCTGTTCCCTGTAATTACTGATATCTTCAAATGATTTGGTATTATTAATAGCAAATACAAGAAGAAAACCTTCACCGGTTCTCATATATTGATCACGCATAGCACTATAAAAAAATATATATTATTAACTTCTTGTAGGCACAAATTACATAAAAAAAACTTACCTATATTCTTCTTGACCCGCCGTGTCTAAAATATCAAGTAGACACGTTTCTCCATCAATTACTACTTGTTTACGATAAGAATCCTCTGTAAATAAACAGCAACATCATTAATATAAATTATGCTCACATCAAGTATATAAAATGTATTATCTAAAAATGATCAACAAATAAAAAGGTAATTACCTACATAGGTTTCCCTAAATAAAATAAAAACTAATATAAAACTAACCAATTGTTGGATCATACTCGTCCACAAAGCTGCAAAATAAAAAAAAGTATACTTATAAGTTAACTTAAATAATAGTAAAATATTTAAAGTATATTTATAAATGAAATTAAAACATACTGGTTCTGTATTAACTGTATTGTTAAGGCACTTTTACCGACGCCGCCAGCTGAAAATAGAATGTTAAATAATGCATTAAGAATAATATATAATATAACATAATATATATATTATATACTTGCTTAAGCCATAGTTGCAATAATTATTCAATTTAATATTTTTGTTAAATGTACAACTTGTTGGTAGGTATTCAGAAATCTGTATTCATAGGTTATGAAACTGACTAATATATACCTACCTAAGTTTTCATGCATTTTCTGTTGGTAGTATGTATTCATAAATAGACACTATAAATTATTTCCCTTATACAAACGTTCTTACACCTTTAAATCACAATAAAAAGTAATAAATCTAGCCGATTACTACAACTAATAAATAATAATAGTAGACAAAGTAAACATAAAGATATAGGTAAATGATGATGAAGTTTTAAGTGTGAAGAATAGTTTAAAATGAATAATTATATTTTAATACTGATCTAAATGAAAAAATAACTCCTAATTGAATGCAATGAAAATACATTTTGTGAAATTGATAAGACAAAAGAATGTACAATAAGTACAGCAAAAATAACTTTAAACCTAAAAAGAACTAAGGATGAAAATGTTTCAAATTTTTTTCTAAACAATTTGAAGAGATAAGATTCAGGGAGTTGATCTACAGATCTACAAAACCTTAAAAACTCATAGAATAAAGATGTACTAGTTTGGGTAATATGTGATTGAACTGAATCGAGTGTGATGATCAGATCGTACGGGGCGATTGTCGATTTATAGATAGTGAAGAGGAAGGAAGCCTCAACAGAAATCAGCGCGAGTAACACACATTCTGACTTCGGCTCACAGCCAATAAGACATTCGTCAAGGGTCAGCAAAACGCTATAGACAATGGCCATCCACACAGAACAAGTCGTGCAATTTCGATGGACGCCGGGTACAGGGATCGGACATTTGGCCCGTACAAAATACCTACACTCTGTTGGGGTTTTTGGCGATTGACGTTGGATGTGGATGTGCTCACACAAAATCGGTATACGTCCGTGGGTAGTGCAACAACTACTTACCACCGACGACGACCAGTTTGTATTCAGTCATTATTTAATTATATTCGTCTCCTTCGGTTTCACCGTCGTCGTCTGGTCGGTCAACAGCAGAGCAAGACAAAGCACAAAGGGCGCTCTTGTGCGGCGTTGTGGTCGGTGGTCACTGGTCCCGTGCGGTGCTACACCGGTCGGCGACGGCGTTCGGCTTGACGACGGCGTCAACTTATACCGCAGAGGCGACGACAATAACCACGGGTAACGACAATATCGCGGAAAAAAATACGCGAAACACACCCCGACCGTAATGTGTACCGATTAGCGAAGACGGAAAAAAAGGTGTTTTGGTTTTTTTCCTTCTTTCTTTTCTTTTTTTTTTATTATTATTATTCTCTAAAAGGGGCGTGACATTTATTTATTTATTTTTTGTTTACAGCACAGCCATCTTTTGTACGGCGCACGCAGCCTGTCCAACTGTCCGCTATGTACGTTACTCGGCGCGCGCGTCGCAGTCCTCGTCGTCGTCGCCCGTCCACCACCGTCACTCGTTATCCGTACTTCGTAGTCTTCGTCATTGATAACGTAACATATTGTATCCGCATGAAAAATTTAAAATATCGTCATTGTGCAACCGCAACGGGTGTCTGTCGTCACTCGTCCGTTTGGCGAGAGCCGAGCACCAGTAGAATGCAGCAGGCAGCAACTATTGCAGCCGATCCGTTATGTTAATATTTTTATTATTCCATATTCGGACGGACGATATTTAAATCTTAGGATAAACCAAAAACGATGAATTGGATATAAAATTATACGAACACGAAAATGTATTCAACTGAAACTTTATAAGCCATAAGCCCACAAACAATTTCCAATTAATATTACTTTCTTCTTAGTACCCGAGACGACGACGATGACTTAATTCCGACATGTCGTGGTCGGTGGAAAGTGACAACATCGTTGTTTTATGTAGATAAATTTATTATAATTTGTAATATTTATTTATATTAATTGCTAATAAGTAATAATTGTAATATTATCGTAGAGGGTAGTGGAAGTTGTGTACTGAATACTGATGTTCGGTGATCGGCGGCGCGTGACATGTGTGAGAAGCTATTGCGTCATTGCGATCGTGTCACACTGGTGAGTGGTGACTGGCAGGATAATGGCATGAAATATGGATAATGAAGGAAATAAGAATGGATAGGCCTCGGCGGCCGGCGCGTAATATTATTACTCTATGGGCCACGGCCACGATGTAGACTGTAGAGAAGATGATGCGACACCACTTCTTGTACAGTTGTACATAATAATATTAATAATATTATGTACCTACATAGTTTCTCAACTGATTTCTGTAGTACATAGCTGGTTTTAACGTTACCTAGACAGTGGCTGGATGGAAATTAGAAAATTTAATGATGATAAAATGCTAATGAAAAATATCAATGAAAAATTCAAATTCAAAAAGTTGATATTTTACCAAGCATCTTGGCTATGTACCAATTTGGTCAGAGAAGGGTAGAATGTACTGAGGCAATTGAGGTCCGGCTCCCCGTCATATCGTTTCCAGTCCTCTATCTTACTCTACAATAGTCCTAAGTCCGGCGGCAAGATTTAAGATACTATATACTATATAGTAATATAGTATGGAGGTATGGATGCCCAACGAGCTATGGAAAATCCAGATTCCACTACTAGCGCTCTTAGTGGACTATTTTTTTTTATTTATCAATGTCATATCTCTACTATAAAAAAAAATAGCTAAAAAGTCCGTATTGGGAAGAGAGATTAACACTGGGAGCGCTGTCGACGCCTATCGTACTGATGGTTAGACGGTTCCCCCCTACATGGGGTCGGAACTCGAGTCTGGAGATTCTATGTATTTTCCCGACATTTCGCATACATTTTGCATTGAGCATAGTGGACCGTATTTTAATGTATTTGATAATATTAGTAGAAATTGTACTTACCGACGTAAACAATTAGCTATAAAAGCGTATAAAGTTTCGATAACAAAATTAATTTATTATAGTAAAATAACCAGTATAAAACTATATCTATACATCCCGAATCGAAAGGTACAAATTGTTTCCACCAGAGCGCGTTTTGTAAATCTGCTTCCCCAATACCAATTAGTAATTACCAAATATTATATTATGTAAATAACTAATTAAACAATAATTATTAACTACTATTTAATTAAATAACGTTTTAACAAATTTAAGGCACTGGTATACTCTAGCTGTTCCACTCGGCTGACCAAAACACGTTTTTTCCGTGCAATCCCACCACAATGCGGACTTAAGTGAGAGTTTTAACGGTGACACTCGAATTGCCTCCCAAATTTAGGTAGGTGACCTTTTGGATTCTGAGTGGAACGATGAATATATTGATTTTATAATGATGTGTGTTTTTTTTTAAATTTTTTAAATTTTTTTTTGTGTCTGTGTACACTATAAGTAGTCGAAATAATGGTTCGATTTTCAACTTCACTCTTCAGTATCTTGTTCGATTGGAAAGTGAATATTGTTGGTACATTGGGGAGGTCAAAATTTTTACGCAAAATCGATTATGGTTTTTGGTGTAAATTTAAAACAAATGACCGTAGATAAATTAAATTTTCACTGGTTGTTTATATATTCATTTTCTATACATGTTAAAATTTTCAAAATATTTTGATTTATTTTGAACTGCTTAGGGACATTTTCAGTTTCCAATTTTATTAGTTTTAGATTCTGAGTGAAACGATGAATGTACTGATTTTACAATGATGTGTGTTTTTTATTTTTTTTTTGTGTCTGTCATCACGTTTTAGGACAGTAAAAGTTCTTGGATTTTCTTAAACAGTAGCTTTTCTGATAGAAAAGTGAATCTAGTTAGTACTTTGGGGGGTCAAAAGTAAAAATTTCCCAGTAGTATTCACAAGCTACTACACAAGCCGGGAAAAACAACATAAAAATTAAGGAAAAACACGAATTTTTACGCAAAATCGGTTTTCCAAAAAATCGATTTTGGTTTTTGGTGTAACTTTAAAAGAAATGAACGTATATACATGAAATTTTCACTGGTTGTTTATATTTGCATTTTATATACACGATAACATTTTCAAAATATTTTGATTTATTTTGAACTGTTGACATTTTCATTTTCCATCTTTTTTTTAGTTTTTTTTCTAAACATATCAATAAAATTTTATTTGTTGGTTGCAAAAGCTTGAAAATTTGATAGAAGGCTCCTAGTATATTGTTTCAAAGGCAGATGAAAAATATTAAAAATCGTTAGTCACAGTTTTTTTTTTATAATCATTTAAAGTTCAAAAATTGACAAAATATGGAAAAATCACGAAAATTAGCAAATTATTTTAAGTTAAGAATTTGTAAAAATTTTTCTTTTTAAATCTAAGATTTTAAAATGTTATACAATAGATTCCTTATAAGATTATCTACCTTCATAAAAAAAAAATGTCTATAAGAAAGACAAATTAAATTTTTATGAGTGTTTGAAATTCAAATTTTTACAACATTGGATATTCACTCGATTTCTCATGTAGCGATTTCCTTATTTTGTTGTAATTCAAAAACGAATAACTGTAGATACATGAAAATCTCACTGAATATTTATATTAGCATTTCCTATACACCATACAATTTTGAAAATATTTTGACTCTTTTTGAGCTATTAATGGACATTTACCGCTTTCAATTTTTTTAGTTTTTTTGTCTATAAATATCAATAAAGTTTTATCTGTTGGGCCAAAAAGTGTAAAAATGTAATACAAGGCTCCTGATATATTGTTACAATATCAGTTGAAAAATATTAAAAATACATAGGCACAGTTTTTTTTTATAAGCATTTAAAGATCAAATTTTGACAAAATTTATCAAAATCTCGAAAATTATCAATCATTGTAATTAAAAAATTATAAAATGTTCAGTTTTTATAGCTAAGGATTGCAAATTTAAAACAAAGGTTCTCATAAACAGTAAAGTTCATACTGCGTAACCAAAAAATCTAAAAAATATATGAACACACTCTCAACACAGTTATTTTTACAGACATTATATAATTATGTAATCATATAATAGGTAACTACTAAATACAATGCATTTGAAATATATAAATATAAAAATTTAAAAATCCTAGTTCCATAAATTGTTAGATATCGTTGTAGCTTTTAAAAATTATTTTAATAAATGCAAAACAGATATTAAACAAAAATAATGGCTTTTAATTATAAAATTATAAAAAAATATCTCATTGAATCTTAGTCAATAATATTATTAAAAAAGATGCTCCGCTGTACAGTAGGTTACAAGTAAAAAATAACCAATGGCAATCCTAGAAAAAAATATTCTTTTTTCGTGTGAGCTTCCTACATGCTGGACCAAATCGAACCTCATTTAATCAATTATTTTTTTTAATTTTCAATAAAAATTGTTTCATGCGACAAATATTTTTGTCGATTGCGATAAAAAACCTTCGACAAGATACGTAAGATGATGATTTGCATGATAAAACAGAGTCAGTGGTACCAGGGTCGCATGGGCTAACCGCTTCGGCATTGCGTCGTCGGCTCTCGGCACGTAGTTGTGTCGGCGGCGACGTAGGCTACGACTATGTTTCATCGGACATCACGATCACAGTATACGTTCCTGTTACATATATTTCAATGTTTCGCGTTACCCGTTTCATCAACGTTTCCACAATGTTGCTGCAACGTTTCCAGAATGTTGTACCCAATCTTTATTAATCATAGTATTTTATATTATACTCATAATAATAATTACAGGGGGACGGGTTCGATTCCTTGGTCATGGGCGGCATTTTTTTTTTCTATAAATATCAATTAAGTTTTATCTGTTGTTCCGAAAAGTGTAAAAATTTAATACAAGACAATAAATTATAAAATGTTCAGTTTTTATAGCTAAGGATTGCAAATTTAAAACAAAGGTTCTCATAAATAGTTCATACTGTAACCAAAAAATCTGAAAAATATATGAACACAGTTATTTTTTACAGGCATTTTAAATTCAAATTTGGACGAAATTACATAAAAAAAACCTAGAATAACTATTTTAGTTATTTTGTTGTGATTGAATAATATTATTATTATTCGTGGGTAGGTACTTGAAACTTCTAAAGTGTACTATTATATATCTATGATAGTATCACGGTTTTTGTTGATGTATAACGCGTTATAAGTACCTATATAATGGATATTGTGACATGATTAATTTGGAATTTATTATAGGTACCTATTAT